ATATCATATCATATTATTACCAGTAGTAGTATTATGATGATCTGTGTTAGCTTGAAGTTGTTTTGACTCATCAGCCCGTCAAACTCAGAGGACAAAGGACACAAGAAGCTGAGCCGACGTTTCTGTCACCATCGCCATCGCCGTGACAACACCAGGACAGACTCTCATCGCCCCGTATCACATGACTCGTGATACGCGATACCTGCATTCATCCACCAAAAGAGGACGTTTAAATATGAGACGGACGGAAACTGTTTCTCTAAAGGTGACGACCGGAGGCGCAAACACGGCGGCGTCCGAGGCGGGGACCTTAGAAACTAACGGAGTGGACGGATCACAGGAGAGAGGACAGGAAGCTGAAATTTAAAGGAAAGTAACAGGAACCAGAGACAGAACAAAATCAATTCTCACCATAAATAAGAGTAAGTCAGAGCAGAGAGGAAGGAAGTGGGAACGAGGTCAGGTGATGAAGACAAAGGAACAAAGAGACAAAAGAGGAGAAAAAACAGATGAACTGACAACGGAACCAAAACTGAAGAAAGGAGGCGAAGAACAAAGAGACGAAGAAGAAAGGAGAAGATGAAGATGAGTGATGATGACATGCTGACAACATGCTGCTCTGCTATTGGCCAAAGTGAGGCTCCACAGGTGTCTCTTGGGCGCACCCAGCAATGACCCTCGACCTGCCAATCATCTCCGGAGAGAAAGAAGTCATTGTGTGTGTGTGTGTGTGTGTGTGTGTGTGTGTGAGATGTCGTCTGCATACCGATAAACCAATCAGGTGCTGCCCAGACTCACTGCTCCTCCTCCTCTGTGATTACCTGATGCGCTCTTCTTCTTCTTCTTCTTCACTTTTCTTTACTTGGAAACTTTCCCTGTTTTTTGCAGATTTCTTCTTATTATTATTTTTTCATCTAATTCGAGAGTCCGATGTGTAATTTGTGACTTTTTCCTCTTCGTCTTCAGGTGATCTGTGAGAAGATTTTTAGACCATGGTTTTCTCCCACGTTGCTTGGGGCCAAAGCAGCGCTCCCTCTGCAGGTAATGTATCTGAAAACATCTTCAGAGGTCCATCTCACCCCACGCCAGCATGTCCTCCTGTGTCTGTGAACCTTCTCAGCTCCACACCAAGCCATTAAAAATGCTCCAGCGCATCCACAGTGCAGAGGTCCGGAGGTCCGGGTTAATTACAGTTACATGTGGAGGACTCCTGTCAATCAAAGCAGCCAGTAGTGTTTCTGTAGATTCAGAGATTTAATACAACCTCAGCCAGGAAGCTCCAACGTGAAAGGGAAACTGGCACCAGCATCATTCGGGAATTCCAGTGACGGAGGGATAATAATTTGGTTTCAAATCCGACTCCGAGCTGACTTTAATCCCAGCTTTCCTGCAAACACTGATGAACTGCAAATGATCTAATGTAGGACAGCAGTTAAAGTCCTGAGTTTTGTGGATTAGAGAGTTTAAGACGTGATGTTGGTGTTGAAATTGTCTTTTTCCATCAGGTGGAGCTGCAGCGAGCTCTGCAGGAGTGTTCAGCGACTGAAGGGGGCGTGGAGGAGTCAGAGGAGGATG